TTATAACTGTCTAGAATTTTTGCTCCATCTTGCCTTTATATATTCATTCTTATCATCTTGCTGGTTATTGACATCACTATACACTATCAGTTGGTCTTTGAGTATGTGTTCTATTTCTTCGCTTACTGTTTCTAATTTTGATCCTTTATTTTGTAATGGATTCAGTTTTCTTCTAATGAGGTGTCAACTTCAGCAATTACATCTTTTTCTTTTATCTGAGAGTGGGACTGGTCATCTGTACCTGATGTATTGGCTGGCCCTCTACAAACTGAGCCATGCCTCCCAAGTCTTTATTTAGAAGCAACTTTCCTTCATTCTTATTACTCTGTGCAATAGTTTAATTGCAAGGATCTCCAAAGTCCTGGATTGTTCTGCTGTTTTTAGGTTTGCTATCAGCATAATTTATTCCTAAGTAGGCTGTATCTTCTCTTCTTGGCTGCTCCTAAGTTCTTCTCTTTGGTGTGGGACTCTGGAGCTTTACTACAATGTGTCTGGATGAGATGTTATCATTTATGTCTAATATTTCCTAACATACACATCCTTTTAAAATAGGAAGATTCATATTTTCTTCAGTTCTAAAAAAATTCTATTTCTAAATACTGCATTGCCCCATTTTCTCTATATTCCTTCTGGGAAAAGTTCTATTAGATAACATGTTAAACTTTAACCTCTCTGTTTATTTTCATATTTTCCATCTTTAAAAAAATCTTTGTGTTGCTTTTAGGTATAGTTTATTCAGATTTGGCTTAAAATTCACTGTCCTCTTAGCTTTTATCTAATTATTCTTTAATATATTCTGTAATTCTATAGTTTCTTCCCTCCCTTCCTGTTTTCCTCTTTCCTTTCCCTTCCTTCCTTTTTTCCTTCCCTTTTTTCCCCTGTCCCTCTTCCTCCCTCCCTCCCTTCCTTCTTTCCTTCCTTTCATCCATCTATCCATCCCTTGGGTTTGAATTCCAGGCTTTTTTCTTGCTAAACAAGTACTCTATCAGTTAAGACATACCACTAGCTTGTTAAAATATAAAGTATTTGTTTTAAAATTCTGGAAGACAAGATAATGTACAGTGGTTAAATGTATCCACTATTAAAGAAAGTAAAAATGTAATTATTGGTAACTTTGGGAAAATAAGGAAATCCAGTAGCTTGCAAAGAAGTTTGGTCACATCAAACATTTGATTATGCATGATGTGACTTTTATTTAAATGCATATGTTTAAAAATATGCACCTATTATCATAAGAACTTTTCCTATTGAAATATCAGTAAAATGTGGAAAAAAGGTTGAAAAAAGTTACGTAAGGTTGTAAATGGGTAGCACCTTGCCCATGAAAACAGTTTCTCTAGAGCAATGTCTATACCAAGTCAATAGGCCTTTTTTTTTCATTATATGTAGTGTAAGGGAAAACCTTATAAGGGATATTTTCATTATGAAACGATTTCAGTAGAAAGCAAAAGTGATAAGCAGTACTAATTGTGGGTAACATTAAATACCATGTATTGAAAAATAATGTTTTTATACACTGCACTCACAATATCTTAAAATCTTTTTACTATCAAATCCTTAACAACGTAAGGCTTCTCTGAGAAAAAGGGACCACAGCTAACAATGCCAACTGCCTTTTATAATACGTTAATAGTAATACTCCTCTGATTTTGTTCTCTGCCTTTCTTCACCTTTACTGATGACATTTTTCAAACAATAAAATGCATTCTGCTGGCAAATCTTCTTGCTTCAGTAGTTCTCAATTTTATAATAGTACATCTACATCTTTGGCTGCTGAGAGATAGCCACTATCTTCGGGTATGTGACTTTGAATGAGGCAGAAAACAAGCTGTACATAAAAAAAAATCAATATCTCCCCTTATCAATATTCATTTTATTTTGTCAATACAAAACACAAAGGTGAAAGAGCAATAAATAAGTTAAAACGCTGAAATAAATTTGGTGTTCCTGTCACAACTAATAAATATGTAACGGATAACCACAACTGGCTGGTAAGGGCCTAGTGAAGTGACATTATGCTGCTGCTAAAGGAGTGCCAGAAAATAGTCAGTACCTTCGAAGGTAACTATGATCAGGATTTGGTGTTGTTAATTAATAGAGCGCTTAAAGTATTATTTGTGATGAATATTACGTATAACTTTATATTAAGAGGTTAAAAACTGTTATACAAGTCCAACTAGGGATAGCAAAATTTAAGTGCTTAATTGTACATCATGACAAGATTTTGGTAAATTCTTCTAATATCTGTTGTTTCACTGTGTAATATTTTGTATGGACATCAGGAAGGGCAATCAAACAATATTAAAGGGGCCAGTCTTTGAACTTTCTTCTCTTGCACTTTTCCAGCTCAGATTTAATGTTAAATACATACAAAAGAAACAGTGAAAATACTCAATTCAGTGTGTTTTTGGAAAGTCTACAAGAGGCCTTGGAAAATGGCAAGAATATGCTTTGAAAAACAATTCTACATGTGCACTCAACTTCAAGAGTTTATGAATATGATGGCCTTTGTATTCTGTGTGACTATATTCTTGAATTTGAAAACTGTAATTTCCAGAGACAGGGTGATCTAGGATTCATAACCTCATTATCCAGTGTATTTATGCAAACCTACTTCTTACTTGAATTTGGATAATAATCTTCACCTTAGTGTTGATTCATTAGGACTAGAAAAAGTTCTATTTAAAACTGAGGGGGGTTTTAAATAACCTCAATTTCTTCCTCTTTGAGAACAGATACACATAGGTTTGAAAAATGAATTGAAAATAAGTAACATTTCTCCGACTACAATGTTTTTTGAGTAATTAAGAGAATGTATCAATTTCCTGTGTATTTTACCTTTTACCTAAAAAAAAATCTGGTAATTAAACAAAAAGCTTGAATTTGAAAAAAAAATCACCATATGTTTGAAATGCTAAAACAGTTTTATAATATAACAGTTTTATAATATAAAACTGTTTTAGGCTAGGAGTTTAATGCTTGTACCTACACTCTTATTAATGATTCTTTCTAAAGCAACTGAGCTGTAACAGCATAATCTCCTTGAAGATGTAATTATGTTATCCCTCCCCACCCCATCTGCATGTCCCCTCTGGTCCACCCACACTCATTGGACCTATATGCTGCCCTTCAGGACCTGACCCTGCCTGATCTTCTCTTCCTTATTGTTGCCACTCGAGTGAGTTTGTCCTGTTCCTGATTTGTCTTGTACTATTTCTGCCACTACTGTTTGAATGACTGAGAGGAGAATTAGTGAGATAATTCAACTGGAGTGGGGTGGTATAGAATACTATATTGCCTTATGATCATCTGAAGATGGCATGTATTTGATGGCATGTATCTGATCCAAAATGTGTCTGAATATTCTATATTTCTGCATAATAATAGCTGAATAAATTCTCTATAAAACTTAAGGCATATAAAAGTGGGTTCATGTCCACATATGCAACAGGACATTTCTGCATATATCTTTGTCAGAAAGATGATGTGGTGCAGTGGCTACGTTTGGGGGCCCACAGATGGAGGCTTGACCTCCCCGTCTTAGGTGGTTCACCTGTCACTTCTTCACATTGGAGTGTTATGATCTGAAAAGTACTGCTAGTAACCTCCACCTCATGCAGTTGCTCTAAAGATGAAATAACTCTGGTATACATAGGTACTGAGTAAGCGGTAAACAATCCATTTAAAGACAAATAAACTTTATGTACATTTCCCAATTCTAAATCCTAGATGTCTAATACAGCTAGAGGAAGACCAGGTATGATAACTAAATGTATAATATCATAATGTAGGTCCATATAAGAAGTAATGGCTTAGAGTTGGTGCTGAGAGTTAACTTATTCAGCAGATTCCTGCACTATCAAACAGGTTTCCTAAAAAGACAATAGAAACTTTATATGTATTTTATTTCCTTCAAACCTACCACTCAAAAATCCCTACTACCGGTTTAGATGCATGTATCTTTACAGCTCACCACCCACCATGTTCTTCTGTGAAGAATCTGGTTTTCATATTTTGTAATGAAAACCATTTTTCTTATTTAAGTTTGCTCAAATGAAGTTAAGAAAAAGTTTATAAACCTAGATGGTTAAGGATCCTAGGCAACAGGTAAAGCTAATCCTCTTGGTAACTGAAAACATTTCCTTAGAGTCAGAGTCAGAGTTGCATCTTGAGTCCATTATGGTTAACCATCGCTTAGTCATGTGCTGGTGGTATCTACATCTGAATGCCCATTGGGCCTCTATTACTGGCTGTCTGTGCCTCCTTCCCACTGCTCTTGCATGACACTTTGCAGTACATACTAACCTTATTAGTCACATCCCTTACTTACTATGCTTGTCACTTCCAGGTAGGCTCCCTGCCCACTCTCATCTACCATGACTTCTCTCCACTCAGCACTTAGTCTTTTCTAACCACATCTGTTATCAGAGTAGCATGTTATTAGAATGACATCATTTCTGAAGCAGACATAAAAGTTTTTTTTTAAATTCTAATGCACACATTGTCTAAGAAAAGATGATGTTAAGATTTCTGCAGAGCTGGAACTAGAAACTAGACTGTCACAATCTAACGCTAGCTTGTATCTACTACAACTTGGAGCCTTGTGTGTGCAGCTACTGCTATCCTTTTGGAATTCATTAGTATTAATGTCTTTCTGGGATATTTCTCATCTCACCTATTAATACATTATTTTCTCAACAAGTCAGAACAAAGATACAGCCTTGGATCTCTGTGCATTACAGACACCCTACACAAAATCTTGCATTTGGGACACATAGATATGTACAAATGTTTCACTGGTGGTCTACCCAGAAAATCTACACAAGGTACAAACAGTACAGTCTAATACCAAAGATCTATAAAAGGAATGAATAGTACAGTCTAATATCAAATGTAATTTGATATTAACAGGTTCTTGTAGCTGTGCTTATTTCTTCCTCAGTAAAGTGATTAAGAATTATCTATCCTTTGAGCTCCTCTGAATCTCTTTTTCACTTTACCTGTGGTAGGAGGGCCAGACAAAGGTGCGGCTTTCCTTCTCCTTTTGATGTCTCCCGTGCACAAAGATCCTAAATGCATGCTTGTTTGCCTACAAGTAATTATCAGAAAAAAAGAAACTATTAACAAAAGAGGGGAAAAAAAGTGACACATAAATACACAGCTTGTTTAATCTGAACCTAAATCAAAACATTCTCAACAAAGATGGAGCTGCATAGTAAAACCACCAATCTTCTTTATATCGAAACATAATTACGTTTGTTGACAAGCGATCAGCAGCTAAATGCGCCATCATAAATTGTTACTGGAATGAATAATATAAAAGGAATGCTTTTTAATTTTCAAAACTGGCAATCTTTCTAGCTCAACATAAAATCAAACACTGTTGCTTCTGACAGGAAAATAGCTAAGATTAATTATCTAAAGAGATCACAATATTGTTGCTAGGTTATCAATTGGTTACTAATGCTTTACTGTCAGAACAACATTTATTACAGGAAAAGTATGATCAATTTCTTTTAGGGTATTTTGGAGCAGTGAATTCTCTTAAAGCACTTCAAATAAATAAAAGGCAATCGAGACATTGTTGTTATGATTCATATACTTTAGATTGTTCTGTCTATTCTTGTTCTCTGAAATAAAAGAATTTTTTAAAAAATAAAAAAATGTTCCAATTGGAAATCAAAAAGGTTTTCAATTTCTGCAAAGACAGAAAGGATCCCCAGATTTTGAAGCTGCTATAGAAGGATTCTGTGTTCATTTCCTGGGTCATAATCCTTGACGTTGGGTGGAAAGACAGCATGAGATCATGAAATAGAAATAAATGAAGCCTATTTACTGTAGTACTACATTTTCTTTTTGTAAGGAACAGAAATATCAAGTAGTAAGATATAAAAGAACCCACTTTGAAAAACCACCAGATTATTAGAGGGGAAAAAAAAAGGAAAACAAAATCAACAGCGGTAAGATAAAGACATACACAGGCATTTATATTATATGCACTCACTAATAGTTTAAATGTAAAGAAAATTAGTCCTGGGAGTTATTATTTCAAACATATGTTCTACTTCCATAGGGCACAAAGTCACAATGAATGATTTAAATACTTCATGAGTCATCAATGGAAAAACATCAAACTCTACCAATGTTGCTTAATAGTAAATGAGCATTTACAAAGTTTCCTCCTCTCTCTGACTTAAGACCATATATCTCTCTATCTAATCTCTCTCTCTCTCTCTCTCTCTATCTATCTGTCATTCATTTGATGATTAAATTCATTCTGTTTTGCCATCAAAATACTATCATGCAAGACTGACATTGTGATTGGATTTTGAGGTGAAGTCTAAGCTCATGATGCTAAGTGGCTATGGGATATTTACTTTTTAGAACTGTATAGAAATTATAAAAACATTGAAACAAAATTAAAAGTTTTTTTTTTACAAGATTACTTCATCAAGCGACTTTTGGTATCTAAAATGAATCCAGCCTATTAGTCCAGATTAGTATTGGAAAGGTGGAGGGGCCATTAGGTTCTTCCTACCAGAAGAAAGAAATGCCTGGGTAGAGAGAAGAACCTGTATATACACATATAGTGACAAGGGTAACAGGAAGAAGCAATTTTATTACACATTATTAGAGACTATGTTATTTTGTCCATGTTAACAATTATAAGCATGCTGAATTAAACATGTATGTTATATATACATAAATACACATACTCCTCAGTAGGGAAAAATTTTGCTCTTGGATGGAAAAACACACTTCCAATCATTGAATTCTGATTTTACAGGAGATACGTTACAACTCTTAAGTTGAAGATAACTGGAGCAAATATATAGAGAAATGCAAATGTGCTGTTTGTAGAAGGGCAGCCCTCCTTTTTAGCCAAAGCCAGGTTCATATCCATTTCCACATTGCTTTATTCCAGAACATTTGCTTTTCACTTTCTCCTTTTAGCTGATTCTAACATCTGCTAGTTCCCTCATGAATTAATGAGCTAGGATATTTAACACATATAACTTTATAGCTCTATGAGCTCCATCATTTTACTTTAAAAAATAAACAATTATTATTATTTTTTTACATATCTTATCCCTCTCAAAATCTCTTCCCAGAACAAGTGCAGATACTTCCTGTCTGTAGAGTACATACCAGACAAGCTCAGTATCTATCAGGAATACCCAAGGAGACAGGGAAGGCAACTTGCTGAAACCAGGAATACAAATGCAAGGTAAATTTTCAAGTGCAGTCCTGCTATCCAGACATGAAACTCATTCATGAACTACCTACTTCTGATCCTGTTAAAACACAGGAAGTACTCTGATGGTTTAAGAGTTCCTGTTTGGAGAATGACGATTAGTTCAAGATGTATAGACAACAGCATGTGGAGCAGGGTCTGCATGATATGGATGGAGGAGGCTGGGGCTAAGCCACGGGCTAGACATGTCATTTTACAACAAAGGCACAACCCTAAAAGTTACAGGAGAGAGAGAGTAGACTAGATTCACAGATGCTGGTTGGCCAGGGTAAGATGGAACAACCACCTGAGGCCACATTTCCATCCAGGATTTTCTTCCCTATACTAGCAAGCAAAGAATGACATAAGGTTGCTGCATGATACCACTTCTTGGTGAAGCTACCTGAGTGAGAAAGTGGACAGACATAGACATGAAGACAACTTGCCTCTCCAATTCTGCCTGATATTTAAAAAAAAACCTACACAGCTTTTATTATTTTTATAGGCATTTCAGGGTCAAACTATGATAAAAATATTATTAGCCAGAAGTATCACTCCCAATAAACACATTATTAGAAATAATTAGAAGAAATACTTGAGTCGGATACATAGTTTCTTAAACATGAGTCATTTGTCTTTGCAAAGTAATACCTTCAGATTTGCTAAAAATGACAGCTAAATTTTTTGGTTTCCTTTACTTTTTCTATCTTTTCTCACCCTCCTCCCCATGCTATCTTTAAGAATAATAATACAATGTCTTATGAAAGAAAGTTTTCAAAACATAAGATTAAGAATCATTTGTAGATCTGTACATTTGTTTCAGATACAGCATTAGCTTCAGAAGACAGGAAAAGTAAGTAGTACATCATAAAGAACTAATTTTTTTTTGTTATGGATTTTCCAGCTGACTATGACTGGAAACATGATGTCCCATGTATTACTTCTGAGAGTTATTCTTCTAAGTACTAGAAAAGCAGAATTGGAAGGTAATGTTTTGCCTTTTAAAAGACTGCACTTGGCTTACCCAAGGGTTGCAGCAAGCTATCCTTTCATATGGCATGGTAGTAGGAAGCTGAGCATCTAATGTGGAGCATAAATACCCCCCCCAAACAAACCCAAAACAACCAGACAGAAATGCTAGTGGGAACCACCTTGACTGAAAACTTGGCTTTGATAGGGGCTGACAGCATGGAAGCAGGCAGTGTCAAACACAATAATATTAAAGAGAAGATAATAGGAACTTGTCCCCTCACTGTATGTATTTACAAATAGAGGCTTTTTAGAGAATTAGGCCTAGTTAAAGCTGCCCCCTGGATACAATGTGTCCCCAAGTATCCTCAATAAGCTGCACAGGAGAGACAAACAGATGTGACTGTGGCCCTGGCATTTGGCAAGAACACTCACTGTCAGTTAGAACGAGATCCGCCTGGACAGGGCATCAGCTGCACAGAAATGAAGCAGGTCTGTGGTGTCACTGGAGGAGCAATCTGGTGGCAGAGGGAAGGATGGGGGCTGCAGAGTCCAGCCCTGTGTGAACTTCCCTTTCTAGATCAAATTACTCTTCCTCCCCCTTTACTCAGTGCCAGGATGTCTCAATATATTAAAATGAACAAGCAGACAGCAGTATCTAGCTTTTGTCTTCTTGTATCAAAATGTGCACTGTCAAGAACTTTCAAATGTAGATATGTCTCCTTACAAACAAACTATTAGGAATATGACATTGTCCTTGTTTTAAAACACGATTCCCTCAAAGACCCTACTGTGCATTATTAGATCCTAGGCCATTCATAGATGCCTTTCGTACCTGGTGTGTTTTCTCTCACATTCTACAACTTTTGGTTCTGGTTTTGGTGACTCGATGCCACATTCTGCATCAATCCCATTTCATTTCCCAACAACCTTGTTCTTGGCCAACGTGGTTAAAGTTTTTAACTCATTGCACTGAGGTCAGAATTTACATTCTAGTGACCCAATCCATGCTGGATTCTGAATTTATCTTATCTCAGTCTTTGATCTTAGTTCCTTATATATTAGGGCATTGCCTAAACCTTCCCAAGCGATCATGAGCTGGCTATGAAATGGTGATGAGACAGCTGGAGTATATACTTGAATTACTATCTGATGTGTTTTGTCTCTGATATATGATAAATGTATGTGGAAAAAACAAAACAAAACCCAAAAGCATATCCCTTTAATTTTGGTTCCTAATTCTGTTTTACTTTGCTTCATCATACAATAAACTAATATATACAAGTCAATAAACGTGTGTGTGTTGGTTGAAAGGTATTGAATACAGTTTTGTGACAAGCTAGTGATTTGTTTTGTGTTTTAGTATTTTGTCAGAAGTTCATCTTTATGCCTCTCATTATTATTAGATTTAAAAAAGTGGTTTTGGGGTTTGAATTCAGGTAGGAGCTCTGCTGCTTGAGTTCTTCCTCTAGTACTTTTTGTTCTGGTTACTTTTGAGATAGAGTCTTAATTTTTGCCTGGCAGGCCTGAACTGTGATCCTCTTATTTATACTTCCTACTGTAGCTAGGATGAGAGGAGAGTTACCATGCCTAGCTTTTGTATGTTGAGATAAGGTCTTGTGAAATTTTTTCAGGGATTGGCTTGACAGCTGCCATCTTGCAGATCTACTAATAGATTAGTTAGATTAAAAAAAAATAAGCTTGCAACAATGAAGACAAAAATTATACCAATTAGAAAAGACATATACAATGAATGGAATGCTAGGATGAATTTCTTTGTGAAAAGCAAAGTCAAACTTTTCAGGCTATGGAAGTTATGATGTTAATTTAGTCTATGGTTTCTTTTTTTTTTTTTTTGTTTTTTTTTTTTGGGTCCGGTCGTGGGG